GTAGTTCCAGTTAATAGGAGATGGGGGGTAGAGGAACAGGTGGAGGAGCATGTTAGCCAACGCTATGAGCAAGCAGCCGGTGAACCCAGATCTACAGGGTATTTGGCTTGGTCCCTTCCACAAGTAAGTACTGATTAAAACAAACAACGGTTCTAGTTTAAGGGACACAACCACCAGTGGTAGCTTGAAGACCTGTTGGCGCTGCAGGGCGGGAGGAGGAGACTGGGCGTGGGGTGGCCCCGGTGGGGAAATGTCTTCCTACCCAGTGGGTAGCAGCTGCAGGCTCCGCCATCCTTGCCTGGAGCTCCAGTTCCTCCACGGGTCTTTTGTTTCCCTTAATGTCCTACTCTTTATTTCCTTAGTTCTTTACTTTTGGCTCTATGTGTTCCTTATTTTACTTTTTTCACTTTCCATTATGTGAATTTCAAGGTACACAAAAGTGGACAGACTAGTGTGGAACTTCACGCGGCCATCACTGTCCCCAGCAGCCAGGCAACTGGTCATGGCCGGTCCCACCCATGCACACCCCATGCAACCTGCCTCCTTCCTCCAGGTTGTTCTGAAGCAGTTCCCAGGTTTTATCACGAGTGTTTCATCTTTTCCTTATACATCTCTGTGTCCAAATATCCTCAAGGTACTTGGTATGACAATTAAATGGCGAACAAGTCAAAGGCGTTCATTCTGCCCACTTCTACTGAGCACAGTACTGAGGTTCTGGCCAGGGGCAGTGAGTCAAGAAAAATAAAAGGCATCTTGATTGGACAAGAAGAAATAAAAACTCTATTTTAGGTGACATGATCTTGGATGTAGAAAATCCTAAGGATTACACATATACGCACAGCACACCTATTAGAACTAATAAATGAGAGCGGACTAGGGCCTGGCTGCAGCCCAGTAGCGGGAGGTGACCCTGGAGCAGGCAGGGACCTCGGAGCCAGCGTGGTCTACGCTGCTGAGCTCTCAGTGCCCTGGGCCTGGCTGTGTTCCAGGTGGGGCAGTGCAGATGCAGGTGAGACTACAACTGTGTGCAGGAGGCTGACTGGCATGGAGGACCCAGCACGGAGGACCCAGCACTGGGGAGCTGGCCAGTGCTGTGGCTCTGGAGGACATGGGCAGGGATATTCATGGTGTGGAGACAATGCTAAAGTGCAGGGCTTTGACTTCTGGAGCCATACCCAGGGGGCCTGCCATGGGGTGGTGGCCCTAGCAGTGGACCAGAATGAGCTGGCCTGGAGGCTGCTGAGCTGCCACCACGGGACATGGTTCTGCTACACGCCCATGCTGCCTGCCCGGGTCTTTGTGCACCATGCCAGCTACCGGAAGGAGAACCTGTCCTGCAAAGTGCGCCCCAAGGACAGGCGCTCTTCCTGCAGATCCGTGCCAATGACCCAGAGGCATTTGTCCAGGAGACTCTCCTGGCCAAGGACTACTGCAACACTGTCGAGCTGAACTTGAGCTGCCCACAGGTGATAACTGAGAGAGGTCACTTCAGCACCTTTCTGCAGAGGAGTGGGATCTGCTCCAAAGAATGATTCTGCTGGCCTGCAAGAAACTCTCTGTTCCCATCATGTGCAAAATCCATGTCTTCCCAGAGACTGACAAGACTGAGAGGTACGCCCAGATGCTGGAGAAGACCGGCTTCCAGTTGCTGACCCTGCAAGGGCACACCGAGGGCAGAAGGGGCCCCTGTCGAGCACGGCGTCCTGGGAGCACATCAATGCTGTGTGGAAGGCTGTGGTCCCTGTGTTTGCCAGCAGGAACATCCAGTGCCGGCAGGACATGGAGCGCTGCATCCAGGCCACAGGCGTGCAGGGGGTCATGAGTGCAGAGGGCAGCCTGCACAACCCTGCCCTGTTCGAGGGCTGGAGCCCTGCCATGTGGGAGCTGGATGAGGAGGACCTGGACATCATGCACCAGCACCCCTGCCCGCTGTCCTGAGTCCACACCCATCTTTTTGAGCTGTGGCGCCAAAGCCAAGACCCTGAAGGGCATCTCTGCTGTGAGCCAGGAGCTGAAGCTGTGGTGCCAGGAGGAGGCAGGCCAGTGGGAGGCACAAGCCGGCTGGAGGCTCGCTGTTCTTCCACCTGACCTGCCAGCCCCATGTGTGGCCGGCACCCAGGGACGGGAGCCAGGGGAACATGGTCCCTGCAGCAAGCGGGCCCTGGAGGAGGAGGGTGGCCCCGATGTCCTGTGCAAGAAGGAGCAGAAGCAGCAGCTGAGGAACCCCCACAAGACCTTCCACCCCTCTCTGAAACCAAAATACCCACAAGTGTGACCAGTGTGTTCTACCTGTGCAAGAAGTGACGAGCCTTCAGAGAGACCGTGGACTGCCCAGCTCATGGGTTGCTGTCCAAAACCAAATTGGGGAAGTCTCTGGCCTGGAAAGGGGCCCAGCCCAAGCTGCAGGAGCCTCAGCAGGCTGGGCCTGGGGTGCCAAGCAGACTCTCTGAAGTCGTGGGCAGCGCTCTGGCCTGACAGGCCAGCAAAGACCCTGCCCCGTCCCACCCAGCACCGCCCCCAGGACTGCTGCTGAAGCCCAGGCCCATCTTACTTAAGGAAATGCCTCTTACTCAGTGAATCTCATGCTATTTACCCAGGAAGGACATGCCGATGTCCTCCCGCTGGCCCATACTGGCAGCCTGGACATGCTTTACCAGGGAGCAGTCCCCAGGCTGGAACTGCCCTGTGCTCACAACTCGTATGTTTTCAAGACAAAAATGAACAATAAATCATTTCAAAGATGAAAACAAACAAACCTAATAAATGAGTTCAGCAAGGTTTTAGGATACGAGATTAGTATAGAAAAGTCAATTGTGTTTCTATACTCTAGCAATGAACAATCTGAAAATAAAATTAAGAGACAGTCTATCTGCAATAGCATCAAAAAGTAAAATTCTGAAAATAACTTTAACAAAAGAAATGCTAGACTTGTACACTGAAAACTGCAAAATATTGTGGAAAGAAATTAAAGACGATAAAAAATGGAAAGACACCCCATGTTCACGGATGGGATGACAACATCATGAAGCTGGAAGTACCAACCATACCGACCTACAGCGTCACACGATCCCATTAACATCCCAGCAGGCGTTTTTTGGCAGAAATTGACAACCTGATCCTAAAATTTATGTGGAAATGCAAAGAGCCTGGAAAAGCCAAACAATCTTCAAAAAGAAGCACGAAGTGTGTGGACTCGTACTTCCTACCTTCAAAAATTATTACAAAAAAACTGGGCAGGCCCGTGGCTCACTCGGGAGAGTGTGGTGCTGACAACACCAAGGCCACGGGTTCCGATCCCATATAGGGATGGCCGGTTAGCTCACTGGCTGAGCGTGGTGCTGACAACACCAAGTCAAGGGTTAAGATCCTCATCTTAAAAAAAAAAAAAAAGTTATTACAAAAAGACTGAGCAGGTAACATGATTTGGGGCAAATTCAATTTGCTAATTACTTTTCTTATTCATTCTAAAAATATTTCTGAGTGGTTACTGTGCCCAGCATTGTGTCACGAGTTCAGGATTCAAAATCCCCAGGCTCAGAGGATGACAGTCTAGGGATCAGAATAGAAATTGACAGACACCTTCTGCACAGGCTGCTCTGGCCTCCTGTGGTGGTGCAGAGGGTCAAGGAAGGCTTCCTGGAGGAGGTGCCAACCCCAAAGGTTAAGTGAGAAAGGCAGGGCAGGGGTGGGGCTGAAGGGAGCCTTTAGGGCAGAAGGAAGAGCTGTGGGTGTCTTGGAGGGGTGGTGGCTTCGTGCCTCCCTGAATCAGGAATGAGAGAAGGTGAGAGTGGCTGCAGCCCTGGGGTGGGGACAGGTCCTGGGCAGGGATGCTGAAGGTGCTGTTGGGGTGGGGGCTGTGGCCACCTGAAAGGGTTTGGACATCAGCCCAGGGCACAGGGGAATCCCCCAAGGTTTCCTGGCAAAATTGTGTCCTTCCAAAGCCTCTCTGGCTGTGAATGGCACATGGCGGAGGGTGGCCTGGAAGAGAAGAATCCGAAGAGGCTTGCAGGGGCTGACAGAGCTGACCGGCCCGGGGATGGGCAGGTGGAGAACCGGCACGTGGAAGTCATGGTGCAGGTAGGTGGGGACAGGCCCAGGACGCTGGGAGTGGTGAGGGAGAGGGAGCAGCGGGCCTTGGGGCCTGAGTGCCAGGTGGGCTTGCAGGGCCCTTGCCTGAGATGCGCCCTGTTGGGGGTGACTCGCCCCGAGAGCTGCACACTTGTCGCCATGGGGATGCCTGTGACATCACACAGGTCTGGACTGCAGGACACCAGCCTTCCTTCTTGCCTCATGGGTGATCACTCTGGGGACAAAATGAACATCTCGTCCAGGAAGTAAGTGGGGAGTGACAGTCCTGTGCCCTGCGCAACCGAACCGTTGAACTCTGGCCTCAGCTGCTTTAAATAAGCATCACCCCCAGAGCCAGATTCACGGTGGCCCTAACTTGAGTAACAACATGCCCTGCTCGTAATCACCCCTCAGGGACCAGTTTGCCACAGCAGACTGAACTTAGGGCTACTTTCCTGGGAGCAGAGGAAGCTGCAGCCCAGCTCTGGTCTTGGGGCAGGTGGGCACGGGGGTGGGAGATGCAGGTGCGCTCAGGTGCACCCGCCTGCCTCCTGGAGGTGCCACCACCTTTGGTGCTTTCCCCTGGAGTTGCTGTCCCCATGGGGCATTCATTAAAGCTGCATGGGTGCAGGAAGCGGGCTGTGGGGCGTGGGTGGGAGCGTGATCTCCACGGGCAAGAAGAGGCCCCAGGGCGCCACCGGAGGCAGCCCGGCCCAGATACTGGAGGGGTCCATGCCCCACATGAGGAGGATGTCCCTCCCAGGATAGGGGAACCTGCCCTGTGGTGGTGAGGACACAAGCCCTCCGAGAAGGTAGGGGTCTCTGCCCCAGGGATGCCACTTCACGGATGCAGGCCTGCAGGGTGGGGAGAGCTTGGTGTGAGGCGGGGGCTGATTAGGGGGTCCTTCCATGTCCCCAGGCATGAAGGGTGAAGGCTTGGGGAGCGGGCAACCCCGGCCACTCCAGGTGGTGTGGTCCAGGCCAGCTCTGCCCAGGGTGAGCGTGGGAGGGCGGCCCCAGGGTGGGCGCTGCTTTGCGCCCTGACAGTGAGAAGCGTCTGCTGGGAAGTGTGGCCAGTGCCCTCCCCTGCCCTTTAAACCCACAGGAGAATTCTAGGACATCTGGGAATTAACCCGGGGTTAATCAGCATCTACATACAAAGCTACACAGTACTTTTCCAAAATAAAATATTATTTTAACCTGGAGTAGTTTCCTCTGGAGCAAACTGATTTAAAATAAAAAATAAAATCCCCATCGTCCCGTGCTTGGGCGTTTTTGTGGAGTTCCTTTGCCCTGAACAGCTGCTCTTCTTTTTGATTGTAGAATGCTGTGATCTGATGGATTTTGATAAAAGCCCAGGCTCCTTGGAAAGGTTGGCTCACAAATACAAGGTAAAATGACTTCCCCTAAAGCAAAGAGGGAGGGCTGGCCAGTTTCTCAGGTGGTTAGAGCACAGTGCCAAAAGAAGCCCAGGCTCCTTGGAAAGGTTGGCTCACAAATACAAGGTAAAATGACGTCCCCTAAAGCAAAGAGGGAGGGCTGGCCAGTTTCTCAGGTGGTTAGAGCACAGTGCCAAAACACCAAGGTCAAGGGTTCAGATCTCCATAACAGCCAGCCGCCAAAACCAATCAAAACAAAACATTATACAAAAAAGTGTCTGGTCCAAATAATACTCAGTATCCATACTGGGCAGCCGCCAAAAAAATCCCCCAAATATAATAATACCAAGTATGGTATGAAAGTGCCAGTCTTAGAAAATTAATACTGGGGGAAAAAAAAGAAAACCCTGTGATTTGTGCAGTAAAATACAGAACCTCATGTCCTTGCT